ATCTATCCGTGTCTATCTATCTATCTATCTATCTATCGATCTATCTATCTATCTATCTATATTCATATATATATTATCAGGTATATATTATGAAGATTAGATAGATTAGATAGATAGATAGATAGATAGATAGATTAGATAGATAGATAGATAGATAGATAGATAGATAGATAGATAGATAGATAGATAGATAGACATATAGATAAATAGACAGATAGTTAGATAGATATTCAGATACATAGATAGATAGATAGATTTGGATGGATATATCACTAGAAAGATAGATAGACAGATAGATAGATAGATAGATAGATAGACATATAGATAAATAGACAGATAGTTAGATAGATATTCAGATACATAGATAGATAGATAGATTTATAGCATAGATAGACAGAAATATGCATAGATATATAGATAGATAAACAATCGATGGACTATAGATAGATAGATATATAGATAGATTGCTACATAGATAGATAGATAGATAGATAGATATAAGATAGACACAGTGAGATAGATAGACAGATAGATAGATAGATAGATAGATAGATAGATAGATTTGATATAGACAGATAGATGAATAGATAGATAGATAGATAGATAGATAGATAGATAGATAGATAGATAGATAGATAGATAGATAGATAGATAGATAGATAGATAGATAGATAGATAGATAGATAGATAGATGCTCATAGATCTGAGTCTAGAATGTGCCGAACGAATTACAGTGCAATAATCTTTGGCAGGAATGTCCCTTGATTTGCCTGTGGGTGCGATACTGTAGAATTCAGAGTCTGCAACGGCAGGGAGTTAATGCACAAGGATTGTTGTTTACCGCACAACCATATCGATCGGTGTCTCTAACCATCGGTTTACAATGCTTCTGAGGCTTCTATCACTTATATATACTATAGCCCTACGTCGAATACTCACAATAGATATGAATTCCCTCATACACGCACAACAGTTAGAATATATTTTTCAAAACAAAACGATTTTACAGGACCCAGAAACAAATTTTATTGGTACACTGTTGAGTTTGTAGCTTTATCCACTAAGTCAACTGCTTTAATACCTAGACATCGCTGAAAATTTGCCCTAGTACGTGCAAATGAAGTGCATTCTTGCAATGGTCTAATCTGACTGAAGAAGGGTGGCAATGTTGCGAAACAGAGTGGTTACTGCGGACACTAGTCAACTAACTGCTCAGGTTTTTGTTGTTGTAGCAAGCGAGTGTTGGGAAAAGAATTCAGTTGTGCTTTACGTAGGTTGGAGAGTTTGTGGGACATCCTCGAAGTTAAGACAGTCAACTATGATAGACAGATGAAGAGATAAAGTTCATGATGAGCTTCTTTTCCATCATCACATCGATGGTAGGAAGAAACGCTCGAGTGTATCGCATCAACGAATTCGCTGTTTACCTGTGGAGACGGAAAGCACATCAGTTTCGAAACGCTCCGGGAGAAAAAGACGTCTCACAGGAATGAATCAAAACAGCTGCAGTAGAGTAAGTCGATGGCTCCAACATCTATGGCATTTGTTTCTGCTGCATCATTGATATTCTTCACGTTCAGTTGCGTAACAAAAGAATCAATTCTCTATTCTCATTTCAGTGCGATAATGTCGCTATGAAGTTGACCTCGTTTGTCGACCAATATCAAGCTAACGATACTGCATACGGTATAATACGCGGAGGGCGGAAGGAAATCACTCTGGTCCCCTTGATGTGTCTCATCAGCTGGACTCTAATAGGCAATGGATGCGTTGTACTCACGCTCTGTCGTAATCCCACCGTGAGGACTTTATCTAACCTGTTGGTGGGACATTTAGCCCTGGTGGATTTTCTTATTGCTCTACTATTCATGACCGTCTCGGCTGTGAATGACTGGCTTGGTGTTTGGCCATTCTCCATAGAATTCTGCATTGTGTGGATCAATATGAATCGATTTATGTACACTGCATCTGTGTGGTCTAGCACGTCCATTGCCATAGACCGTTACGTGGCTATTGCGCACGCCAAATGGCACTCGTTCAGTCATCGACACAGACGTAATCGTATGAGCATCTACCTAATCCCTATCTGGACTGTTTCGTTACTGGTTTGTGGACCGTCCATATTTCTTACGCAAGATAAGCTTGCCCGTTTACAGGAGTTGAACGAACGCATCGGGTACACTGTATGCACGAATGCGATCGAGCCCGTGTGCGCGACCTACTCAATCAGTGGATCATTTTTCATTCCAATCATTCTGACCACTGCACTCTACGCTCGGATGATTGTGCTTATGCGACGTCAACGAAAAGGAGTGAAAAATCACATGAGATATCCAAACGGTATACATCAGATGGGATCAAATGCAGTGTATCCCCGACCAAAATTTGACACTAACAACAGGACTGCACTGAAAGAGACGGAACTGGAAACAAAACCGTCAGTGACTTCGATTCGAAAGGTTTGCAGCACACCAAATCTGTGCTTGGATTCGACAATTACCGAATGTACCGTACAGACGAGCGGATCGGATAGGAAACTGAGTGGCAGTAGCCCATTTCGAATAAGTCACCCATGGACGAGGGACAGGCGGAATAAGAGAGGACGCAAGTTCTTCGCTGGTTTTTCTAGGATGAAATCGAATTGGAACCGGCGTAACGAACCGAAGCTCGATGTTCGTGAGGCCCGAGAGCAGCGCGTGATTCGTCTAGTGACCGGACTGAGTGCATTGCTCATACTGGCCTGGATTCCGTTTATGATCGCCTATTTGGTT